GGAGGGGACATTTCTTGATGACACTGAGGTGTCATTTGTGCCTACAGATCACCTGTGGAAAAGCTATGTGTACTTGGGGTCTCACATCCTCTGATCTTGTTTCTTTGGTCCATATGCCATGTCCAACTAAGCATTTAACCTTGTCTGGAGGAAGAGCTTTTCATGCCCTGACACAGATTATCTTGAGGACTGAGTGCCACTTCAAAATTCTTGATTTTTTTTTTGGATAGGATTTCATATAGCCCAGGCTTCAACTTGCTGTGTAGAGAGGATGAATTTAACTCCTGGTCTTGCATCTCCATACCAAACAAGGCTGGAATTCTAGTCATGCCCACCCTGTTCAGTCTATGCATGAACCTGGGCTTTGTGTATACTCATCAAGCACTGACCAGCTGAGCTACCTCCCAGCCCCACCAGCCCTACCACTCTGATTCTTAGAGAGGGAGGAGTGGGACTGATGAGTTGGCAAAGCAGGGTAAGACACTTAGTCTACACACACACACACACACACACACACACACACACACACACACACACACACAGAGAGAGAGAGAGAGAGAGACAGACAGACAGAGACAGAGAGAGAGACAGAGAGAGCGAGAGAGAGAGAGAGAGAGAGAGCCAAACATGGTGCACACCTATAATCCTAGTACTGGGAGGTGGAAATGAATATCTGTGGGATTTTCAATGGCAATTTGAGGAGGACACTAGCATTTAGCTCACACAGAGGGATTTTTCTTTCTTTCTTTTTTTTTTATAGCATGTTGCTTAATTATACCTTCCCAGTAACTTTTGCCAAAGTAATAGAGTCTACTTTCTAGATTCTGTCATTTGAAAAAAAATATGTGTCCAACATCATACTATTAATTTCTAATTTTACAACTAAGCTCTAATGGTTGAGAAATTCAGTTTGGCAATGGCCTAATTTAATAAGCACATGGCTCTGTACTGTGCTTTATGTTTTAACTCTTACGATGTTTAACATAAAAGAACTCAGAAAAATGGGCCCCCAATTTCTAACACCTGTGATTTTTCCACTTAGCCTTTTACATGAAGTTGGCAGTTTGTTGGCTCTATTAACATCTGTCTGGACCCTTACCTCACCAGTCCCTGGAGTCCACTCCTCATTTTGTATAAAAAGAGTGGTTTCAACATGTTCTTAAGAAATCTGTCCAGTGTTTGCCATTTGCAAACCCACCACTTAAAAATGGAGTCCACTAGGCCAGGTTTTAGCTCAGTAAACATCTACTTTGTGTGAATCTCTGTTATGAGCTGAAGACAACTAGAAAACTAATAGCAGTGGCTCTGTTCCTAACTAAATTAGAAACTTTATTTAACATGAAAGTCAACCATAAGTATGTGGACAGATGTCTTTTATGGAATGAGGTGTTATGATGTCTGCTTTTTTTTTTTTTTTGGCTTTTTGGCTTTTTGGCTTTTTGGTCTTTTTCAAACACAAAGTTTCTCTGTGTTACCCTGGATATCCTGGAACTTACTTTGTAAACCAGGCTGACATCACACTCAGAGATCCACCTGCTTCTGCTTCCGAGTGCAGGGATTAAAGGTGTGCACCACTACCACCTGGCTAATGTCTGTTTTTTGTTTTTTTTTTAATGGCTCAAAATATATTATAAAATTTGATTTGTGGAACCTGGATGTATTTGGGTATTCTTTTACTTCCTGGTTTTTCTATAGTTTGAAAATTGTGCAATAAAAGGTAAAAAAGAAAAATCCCACTTACAACTAATTATTTAAACGTAAATTCTACCCTGGCATATAACTCATTACTTTGTTTGACACGATCTTGTGTGTCATAGGTTGGTTTTGGATTCATTACATAGTTGAAGATGAACTTGAACTTCTGATCCTCATGCTTCTGCCTCCCAAGTGCTGAGTCCCATGAAGATGTGAGCACTGTGCAGCATGCCTGAGGATTCTTGACACAGCACAACTGAATGGCCCACTGTGTATCATGCTGTTGGGGAAGAACTTTGGGTTGAGTTCCAATGTACGAAAATAGCAAGGGCCTGATGGTGGAAGGGAACAGGATGAGTTTTGGCATGGGCGGCCCAGCACTTGCCCATCGTCATATGTCTTACACTCCTTGTGCTCTAGTGTAAGAACAGCACAATATGGCATAATGAGTGATTCTCAGACTATGCCACCTGGAGGGCAGATGTCACAGGATCTTCAATACCCAAAAGGTAGTCTTCGAGGTCAAACTATGTTTGTGATAATATTTGGACATAATTTGCAAACCAGTGTCAATCTCAGAAGTGTGTAGTAGAGTTTCCCAAGACTCTATGAGGATAAATGGCAACTTACATGCAGAGGAGATAATAAGATCTATCATTTTCTATTAAGCAAAACACTGAAAAGATTATAGTGGGTATAGGTCAATAGGCACCCATGCTTGTCATACTTATAGTCATGTTAGTTAGGTTTTTAGATATACAGATATATATGTCAGATGGATAGACAATCTTCAAACACTTTATAAACCTAAAGAATATAGCATTTAACTGTTTTAATAACTTAGAATTCTGTTGACTTGAGACACGATTGCTCCTGGCAGCACCAGTCTACTTCCGAGAGGATGTTGGGCATTGAAGACACTCCATATGGAATTTGTCTTCTTCTTGGCAAAAATGACCTGTTGGGCATAGAACTGCCCTTGCCTCAGCTGCTGACAGTAAGCACTCTGTCCATTCTGGACGAGCAAGACACAAGGAAAAGTGACTACTGAACCTTGCCAAGACAGGGTAGGATAGTCTTTCAAAAATTTCCTGCTTCTGATAATGGTCTGTCAGATATTCTAGACCTGTAGTCAAGAGTAGATGCCCCAATGTTGTAGAGAAACATTGGATGACTGTCCAGGCAGCCACATGTCTTTGTCATTTCTTGCAATATTTCAGAAGTTGCTTGCTTGCACTTTCTGTTCACTCAGGTAATATTACTTTGCTTCTCAGGTCTTTGATGGTTACAGTTATATTCCACTTATATCTTAACTAAGAACATATCAGGTACTAGATTTATATTCTTCAGAATGGGACAGCTATTGGAGTAATCTCTGTACTTTGCCATTTACCTATATTCTGGACATCTAGTATGTGTTTCTTGCTTGATGTTGTTCTTGTTAGTTGTAGTTCCATATTTGTTTATGTTATTACCCTTTCTTTCTCCTGGACAATACTTGATAGTCGTTCTTATTGTATATACTTTTGTATTAGATTTAGAACCTTCTTATTGAGACAAAAAAAAAAGGAAGTGTAGTGGGTATTCGTTCCACTCATGACTTGGGCCTACCTACCCCAATAGAGGTGGTGCTTCTTGTCTGCCTACATAACCTCTTAAAAAGGAAGAGAAAGGGGGGGGTCACACTCTCTCTTGGGTGGTGAAGGCCAGGTCATGGGGTATGAAGTAGCATGTGATCGGTCTCCAGCTTTCCAAGGACTCTGTAATTGGGTTTAACATATCCTGTATTTGTGAATGTATTTCCTCATTTCTTATCTTAATAAATCCTTGATACCCCTTAAACAGACTCTCAGATTTTGCTAACAAAAGACTTCTGAAAATATAAACCAGTATTACCCTTCTGACATTTTTGTTTTGGAAAATAGAAATATTTTCCTCAAAATAGGTTATATGTTAATCTGTGAAGTGCTACTATTATTTTGAATATTTGTGAGACGCATGCAATTATTTAACACTAAAGAATTTTATCAGTCTTTTAATAGGTTAATAACAGTAGATACAATGTCAGTAATTATTGAGGATATATAGGAGGGGCTTGCTTGATACCACACTTGCAGAACTGTTGCCTTGGCAAATAAAAGTCCATGGACTTAAGTTCTAGTCAGGACTTTGCCCTCTGACCAAGTATAGTAGCCTCTGTAACTGGATTGATTTCTTTTGAAGTTGATGGTAGTAATTTTACCCTGACCTATGCCCCTATAGGAAAGCATGGTGGTTCAATATAAAAGTGTCAAGAACATAGTCTTCTACAGCTAAGCCAACTAATGTTAGGAAAAGATGCAGCATTTCAGGCCCGTTAGCTGGCAGTCTGGCTTTTGTTTTAATTTTGGTATTAAATTCTTATAATTTCCTTATATATTTTTTCTTAGTTTCTCAGATAACCATGTTAGTAACCAATAGGAATTAAAATTAAGTAAATGCATCTTCCATCCTGTTGGGGAATATGTTATAAGATATATATTACTTTTGTTTATATTGCATTTGTTTAACTCTATGAAGCTATGATACTTTGCCTGTCTAAAACACCTAATGATCTAATAAAGAGCTGGACGGCCAATAGCAAGGCAGGAGAAAGGATGGACAGGGCTGGCAGGCAGAAAGAATTAATAAAAGAAAAAAATCTGGGAGAGAAGAGATCTAGGAGCAAGAGAAGGAGGAGGACATCAGGGGCCAGCCACCTAGCTACACAACGAACAACAGAGTAAGAAAGAAAGATATACGAAAATAGAAAGATAAAAGCCCAGAGGCAAAAGACAGATGGATTAATTTAAAATTAAGAAAAGCTGGCAAGAAACAAGCCAAGCTAAAACTGGGTATTCATAATTAAGAAGAAGTCTCAATATGTGATTTATTTGGGAGCTGGGTGGCAGGCCCCCAAAGAGCTAAAGAGTAAGAAAACAACCAACAACATAATCCTTTTCATTCAAGAAGAGATGTCTTCTTAATACTTCAGAGTAGTGTGGTAAGGCCAGGAGCATGGTCTGAGGGAAGCTACTGCTCCTTTCATGATGATCAGAAGTCACTCGGCCTCTCTGTGTCCTGGCTCCCTTGTGTGGAAAATAGGGCTAAGGAAGTAATGCAGAGGCAGCACCTGGCCAAAGCATCCAGTGAGTGGTTGGCATTCCATAAAAGAGCAGAAAACACAAAATTAAAGTCTCTTTCCTGCCTCCGTGAACCCCAGCTAGGTTAGTCACAAGTTTATCAGCAGTAGTTCTCATTTCATTTTTCCCCTCTCTCCTTTGAAGGGCTCTTGAGTGGACAGACATCCCCAACAAATGCCAAACTGGAGAAGCTGGACTCTCAGCAGGTGTTACAGCTCTGCCTACGGTACCAAGATCACCTGCACCAGTGTGCAGAAGCGGTTGCTTTTGATCAGAATGCTCTAGTCAAGCGAATCAAAGAGGTAATGCATCTGGGGCTGGGGGAGGGGTGGGGCTACCATCCCAGACTCATGGGAGTAGTAAGACATGCTGGTGAAGAGTGGGTCCAGGTGAGACCAGCCTGGTGTTTTGACTCCTACTTTACAGCTGACTTGGTCAGACTTGTTTAATTTCTCTGAGCATGAGAAATGGACCTCATAGTAGCAAGGTTGAGTGTGATGAGACTTCTCAGTGGTTGTTAGCTGTATTAGTATGTAGAAAGTCTTGCCATCATAAATTTGCTCTAGTTATATCTGTGTTTAGCTTTTTTCTTGTATATAATTTCTATATTTTTCAAAGTAGATAATGATTTATTTTGAATGTAGGAGCCTTGACATATTCTTTGCTCTTACTTTTCACTATGTTAGTACATGAAAAGTTTAGTGGTTCTTATTGGCTATATGTGATTATGCCTTTTTAACCCTAAATGTTTTTGTGACTACAGATGCAGTATCATTCGTGTGAAATAGCCTATAAACGAAGAACATGGTACAGTCTGGGGCTGCAGATTTGTTGGGAGACTGCTTGGTTAGCAAGCGTGGGTCACTGGGTTCCATCCTCAGACCATGTAAACTGAGATGGTGGATGTATACATGTGATCCCAGTGCTCAGGAGGTTAAGACAGGATCAGAAGTTCAAGGTCATTCCCAGCTACATACCAAATTGGAAGCTAGCCTTGATATATGAGGCCCTATCAATAAATAAATAAATAAATTTAAAAACATGGTACATATGTGTAGTTACCAATAACCATAGTAGGTTCTTTGAGCACTGAAATGATTTATTGACCAGTTACATGGTACAGTTTTGAGAGCACCGAGGAATAAGCAAATACGCATTCTAAAATTTTCAGTCAAGGAAGAACTCAAATTCCTGCTGTGAGGTAGTATCATATAAAGGAAAGTTTGAGAGCTTTATCTAGAAGAAATTGCTTGGGAAGATGGCACCACTGGGTTTGTTCAACTGGCATGGGCCCATCAACTCTGCTAAGAGAAGATGGGTTGTCTGTCACTACACATTGTTTTCTAATTAGTAATAAAGACAGTCTGTTCTAGGAGATTCTGAAGTAGTCATGTTACAGTATCGAGTTTCAACATTTAGCATTATTTTTCAAGAAAGATATAAATATATGCAATTTTCTTTCATGAGTAAATGACTTGGTCAGTCAGACTTACATCACAGTCACAAAACGCCTGGCATAAATTTATCTAGTTTCAGCACATGGCCATGTGTTTCCATGGTTTCTAGGTTATGATGAGGCACAGCAGCATGGCAGGAAGCATGCAGTAGAGCAGAAGGGTTCGGCTTGTGACAGCTGAGAGGCACATATCAAGGGGCCAAGGCTAAAACATCCTTCAGTGCATGCTGCCAGTGACATGCATCCTACAGCTAGGCCCTCATCTTCCTGTACATGCCATCAAGCTATCAACCTACCAAGGAGTTAATCCTGATTATGTCAGAGCCCTCATGATCCAGTTACCTCCTAGTGATTGGATCCATATGTTGGACCCCAAGTCTCAAAATAGGAACATTTTGAGGAGGACTTCATGTCCAAATCATAGCAGATGCTATTATCTGGCTCCATTCAGTATGACCTTCCTCACTGCTAGGCATATATATATATATGCCTATATATATGCCTATATATATATATTTATATTTATATTTAGAGAGAGAGAGAGAGAGAGAGAGAGAGAGAGAGAAAGAGAGGGTCTCATGTAGTACAGGTTAATACATAGCTTAGGATAACTAAACCTATGGTCCTCCTGCTTCCACTTTCTAAGTGCTGGGATCACAGGTGTGCACCACCACTCCCAGTTTATGCAGTGCTGGGAATGGAACCTACGACCTTGGGCATGCTAGGCAAGTACTCTACCAGTTTAACTATATTCCCAGCCCTGGCCTTTCAAATATTATATACTTTTCTATTTTTTTTTTTTTTTTTGGTTTTTCAAGACAGGGTTTCTCTGTGTAGCTTTGCGCCTTTCCTGGAACTCACTTGGTAGCCCAGGCTGGCCTCGAACTCACAGAGATCTGCCTGCCTCTGCCTCCCGAGTGCTGGGATTAAAGGCGCGCGCCACCACCGCCCGGCTTTTAATTTTTTTTTATTATATTATGATCCATATAGTTCTTATCCCCAAACATGAGTATGCATAAGTATTACTTCAATTTGTTCATTTGAATGATGTGTTCTCCCCTCCCTCACTAGGGTGTGGCCCATGAATCATTGTTTTAATAAGCTTGCCAAATGATACCTAGTGCTGCCCTTCATTAGCTAGGTTGTGGGAAGCACTGGTATAAAGGGCTACTTTCCAAAACAAGTCCTAAAAAACTCATCCCATGTAGGTTAAGCTTCTTGCATATTCATCACCACACCTTGGAAACTCACATCACAGACATTTGAAGTTCTGCATACTATTTAAAGTTCTTAGGAGTCTCACAGTAAAGATAACCAGTACATTCCAAACTAATTTCACCTCAAAACACTTGTCTTAAGTAACATCTGTTAACATCCCATAAAAGTAAAGCTTCTTATTAGCATATATTTACTGTACAGAATAATCTGTTTCATTATGACACTTTCATAAACGTGTACCATATAATTTGATCATATTTACCTCTCAGTTACCCTTGTTTGTCCTTCTTCATGCCTCTGCTGACCCTCTTCAAGTAGTTTCCTTCTATTTTCTGTCTTAATGCATTTTTCAATAGTATTTTTTATTTATTCTTTAATTTCAGAGATGTATACAGTGTATTTTGGATTATACCCATTACATATCCCCCTAACTTCTCTCAATGCCATCAGCATACACATCCCTTCTAACTTCATCCTCTTTTTCTTTTTCTGACCCACTGAGTCGTAGTTAGTGCTGCCCATGTATGCATGGGCATCTGCTGGAGCATGAGCAACCCCTACCAGAGGCTACACTCCTGAAGAAAAGTGATTTATCCTCTCCCAAGAGCCATCAACTGCCAATATCTCCTCAGCTAGAGATGGGCTTCATATCTCCCCCATTCCATGATGGAATGTTGACTAGCTTGTTCTTGTTTAGGCAACCATAGCTGATGTGAGTTTATGAATGCAAGGGCCCTGTTTTACAGCAGTCCTACCCAACCTCTGGCTCTTATGATCTTTCTGCCACCTCTTTTGTATTGTTCTATGAGCCTTGGAGTAGCAGGAATGATACCAATCCCCATTTAGAGCCAAGAAGTCCACAGTCACTTACTGTCTGCTGGGACTGATCTAGAAGTTTCTTCCCTTCTAGCTTGTTTTGAAGTGCCAGGAGGTGCTATGTAGGCTGTTGGGGATGAGAGTGGGGTCAGTCATCAAGTCTTATCTGCTGTGATCCCTGTGAGCTACAGTACCAACCAGCCAGCCATGACATGTCTGTTGGTACAACAGTGACAGGGGTGTTGTGGGGTAGCCAACCATTTCCTGATCGGAAAATGCGGATGCCCAATCTCTTTCTAAGTTAGACCAAAATCCTTTAAGGGCATTGGCCAGAAGGAAGGGAAAGCTAGGTGCCAATATTTATGAAACCACTCTACGTGATTTTCATATGGAGCCAGGGTTGAGATCCAGTGTTTTGAAGCACTCACTTAAATACATTAAACTGAGTTTAAAATTCTATTTGAGAAACTTTGAGATTCAGTTTGAGTAGTCACGGTATAGTGAGCATCTCCAGTGCAAAATCCATAATCTGAAATGCTCCAAAATCTGAAAGGTTCCCACAAGTGTAAAATTCTGTATCTGAATTAATGTGATGATCACACTCAATACACAGGCAGAGGGATGTGGGTGTAGCTCAATGGAAAAGCACTTGCCTAGTCTGGCCAAGGCTCTAAGTTCTATCCCAGCACTATAAACAGGCAAACAAACACTGCACAGGCATGCTAAAAATACCACATATAGCCATCTTCAAGCTATGTGTGTAAGATACATATGAAGCATAATTCTTTTTTAGAATTAGGTCCCAGCCACAGAATATCTCATTAAGTTTATGTGGCTATTCCCAAATCAAACAACAATAAAACTTCCTGAAACACTTCTGGCTCCAAGTGTTTCAGAGATGGGATGGTCAGTCTCTAGTCACTCAGCATTATTACAAAACAAGGAACAGTTCTTACAGTGCTGAACAGTAGTACCTCAGCAGCTCTTAGGGCAGAGGGAGTGACAGTTTCAGGATTTCACTGGTGATGTCATGTGTCCTCTGTGTTTCAGTGGGTGAGTGTTAGCAAACCCCTGAAACATGCATCCATCTCTGCTCACTGAAAACCCAAGGGTTGGGATTAGTCACTTCCAGATGAATAAGGCAGAACACATAGTTTTGAGCAAGCACAGACTCTCTGCACTTACCCCAGATGCTTCCTAAAGATTTGGTTGGAAGTGTGAAGAAGTGACATAATGCTGTATGTGTTGAAAAGTAGAAACTTAGTAATCCCTAAGACTGTGCAGTGGTGGGTTAAGCAGACATCCATAAAGCTACAGCCCCTATGATCACTTTGTTTACATCAAAAGGAAACTTAGCTGTAACCATTTTTGATTCACATAAAACAATGTCAAATTTAGATAAGCCTTTGATATGAAAATTGGGTGGTGCTCTTGAATGATAAATTTATGTTTACAAATACATACATGTAAAAGGGGAGAACAAGGAGATGGCTGCCTTCACAGCCTGTGGGGGATATTCGATTACACTGTGAGTTTGCATTTGTGGTAATTAAATAAAATTAACCTTGGGTCAGGAGGCTGTGTTAGCAACTAGTTGACAGAAAGTAATAGCACCTCAGAGGGCATCCTGGAGAGATAGACACAGGAAGTAGTAGAGTGGGTTTGGAGTGGCGCAGCTTTTTCTGGTTTGGCAAAGCAGAAGCACAGGTCTTCTGTGGTTGCCAGCAAGGGAAGAGGTTGCTACTTAGCCTCTCTGAGCTGGCAGGTTTTCACCCCAGCCTTTGACTCTCGAGTCTTATTCATAATTAAAAT